GAGGGACGGGGGTGTGTGGCATGATGGGGGCTGTGCCCCTGCCCCATCCCCACCGGCCACCCCGCTCCCCATCACCGCTGGGGCTGAGTGGGGCTGGGAGCCACGGGTGCGGGGGACGAGCATCGCCTTGGGGGGACCCCGACCCTGCTCCTGGCATCCCCCACTGTCACCCATCTTGCTTGGCCCCAGCGTTTGGGGGTCACCCCTCTCAGGGTGGCCCTTGGGAACCCATTAATCTCAGCGCCCGTAATCTCCCCGATTACAGATGCCGGTATCCCCCAAGGATGCTCTGTGGGACAGGGACACGTTTTTGGGGTGGGGGTCCCTAACCGCCTCCCCTTGCAGGTGCAACACGCAGGACTACACATGGCACAAGGGCACGCGCTGCGAGGCCATCGTCACCGACTTCCAAGTGATGTGCGTGGCTGTGGGCTCGGCCGCCCTCGTGGTGCTGCTGCTCTTCATGCTCACCGTCTTCTTCGCCAAGAAGCTCTACCTGCTCAAGACGGAGAACAGCAAACTGCGCAAGACCAAGTGAGTGGCATCGGGACAAAACTGTCCCCAGCCGCTCCGGGGTGGCACCTCAACAGCCGCAGCAGTTTGTGTGGTCTCAGCTCCTGGCCGTGGCACCGGGGCTGGATGCGGTCCCGTCCCCGCGCGGTGTCATCGAGACCCCCGGTGTCGATGGGGACAAGGTGACGGTGGGTGGGAAAGCTCCCGGAGGCAGGTGCCTGGCGGAGACGTGGCTTGTGGTTCCTGCTCCACGTTTAATCCTTTAAAGCTGCTCCTGACTGGCACCAGTTAATCTGCTGCACTGGTAGCTGGGACCACCAGCTGGGCTCGCCACGCTGCCCGGGGTCCACCAGAGATGTTCCCACTGTGTCCCTGGGGACAGGGCTGGGGGGGGTGACAGGGGAAAGTTGGGGGTCACCCCCCGCCCCAGCAATTGTTGCCCACCTCCCTGGAGCAGGGGAGGAGAAAGGCCTTCCAGCCTGGGTCCCTAATGAGCTGTTAATTAGTGTTTGGAAGTGCCAAGTGTAATTAGCAGCGAAGCTCCGTGCCAGCCCATGGGTCTCCCTCTCTGTCCTTGCGGCTCCTGCCTGCCCCGGGCTGCCCTCACTGCTCCCTTGCCTGCGCCTGCCTGCACCTTCCCAGAGCTGGGGATATTTAGCCCCAAACCCCCAGATCTGGGGGCACTGAGCCCCCCAAACCCCCAGATCCGGGGCATTTAGCCCCAAACCTCCATCCCTGGGGACATTTAGCCCCCAAACCCCTAGAGCTGGGGGAATTTATCCCAAACGTCCAGATCTGGAGACATTTACCCCCCAGATCCTCAGAGCTGGGGGTTTGTAACCCCAAACCCCCAGAGCTGGGGATATTTAGCCCCTAAATCCGCAGATGTGGGGGCATTTACCCCCCCCAGACCCCCCAGATCTGGGAGCATTTAGCCCCCAGATCCCCACAGCTGAGGGTATTTAGCCCCAAACCCCAGGGCTGGGGACATTTAGCCCCCAAACCCTAGATCTGGGGGCATTTAGCCCCAAACTTCCATCCCTGGGGACATTTAGCCCCAAACCCCCAGAGCTGGGGGCATTTAGCCCCCAAATCTCCATTCCTGGAGACATTTAGCCCCCAAATCCCCAGATCTGGGAGCATTTAGCCCCCAAACCCCCAGATCTAGGGGTATTTAGCCCCAAACGTCCCATCCCTGGGGACATTTAGCCCCCAGACCTCCAGCGCTGGGACCATTTACCCCCCCAGCACCAGGTTCACCCCGAAACGTGCCGGGGGCGTAGGGGGTGCTCAGCAGCGTCTCCAGTCTCACCACCGTGCTCTCCTCTCCCCCCGGCAGATACCGCACCCCGTCCGAGCTGCACAACGACAACTTCTCCCTCTCCACCATCGCCGAGGGCTCCCACCCAAACGTAAGGAGGCTTTGCGGCACCGTCCGTGTGTCGTCCTCCCCCCCGCCCCCCCCCCCCCCCCTTCCCCTCTTC